TCAGATAGGCAGTCGCATTGGGTGGGGGAAACCAAGGACTACCAGAGCACGGAGATCCAATATTGGAGGTCGCCCTGCCAGGCGTTCCAGGTGGACTGGCCTGCCATGAAGCACGTCTCCCCGAACCTACAGAAGGGCCGTTGTTTCTGGGGCCCACGCGTATGCATCGCCACCGCGGGCTGGTTTTCTGTCATGGGTTTGATCGGATTATTGTTTCGGCGGTGGGTTGCAGGTTGCGTCAAATCTCGCGGCAATGATATGGCGCGTGCGCGGCGTCATGTGGGCGCGCGGTTGCATGCGCAAGGAAAAAAACACATCATTATCGCGCGGTGCATTATTCAGGGTGGTATATAAGATTTTAGGGGGGGGGTCCATTGGTTTTATGTGCCACCGCCGCGCTGCCATGGGGTGCTTGGGGGGATTTTTTGAGACCGAATGCGTCCGCCATCTGCGCGCGTGACCACGTGGCAAATACTTGCGCTTGGCGGGGGCAGGCAGTGACGCCCCTGTCAGGGCGGTCGCGCGCGGGATTTTGCTTTCCCATGGCCGCCTGGTGGTGGTGCATATATCGGGGCCCCGCAGCTTTACCAACCTGCATCTGTCCACCTGGAGGAGGCGCAGGTCGGCGCGTATCGGGCTCTGGCTGGCATGACGGACGACGACGCGATCGTCGCCAACAGCGCCCCATATATTCGCTGCGCGCACCGCGCTGCTCACGATTTCTATGAGTTCAGGTGGATCAGCAAGATAAGGACAAGGAGGAAGAGGCTGACGACGAGGAAGCAGGGGTCTCTCGGGACAGTGTCGCGGGCGCTCCGGCGGCCAGCGCGACCGCGGCCCAGTGCGCGCGGGCGAGGAGTAGGGGCGCTATGCACTTAGACCAGCGAGCGAAGGGCCAGGCCATGCGAATTCGACAGAAGGGTCTCGACGCGGGGCGGAACGCCATGGGGCGCCCGGGCAGAGTTGGCTTCGTCGGCAGCAACCGCGCAACGGAGGCGCTGCCCATCGCAAACGCCGCTGGCCCCCCGCCCGACGAGCCGCGGGGCCTTCCAGATGGAGCGCCCCCCCGTCGACCGCAGCCGCTCTCGGCGCATTCTGGCGCCATCAGCGGGGCCCCTCTGGCGCGCGCGTTGCATGTCGAAGCTCGCGCGGGCTTGTCTGTCTCTGTGCAACGGCCGCCCGATTAGGAGAGAGATGCCTCCCGCCCGCTGTCGTTGAATGCAAATGCTGCAAAGGTGCGACTGCCGGGCGCTTGGGCATCTGCACTCCTCGTGAGCGACAGCGCAGCAGAGGGCGGATGCCATCGCCCTTGAGGCCGCGCCTACGGTTGTGAAGTTCGAGCGCGACATTTTCAACGCGCGAGTCGCGGGCGCCATCCGCGCAGCTCTCCACCGGAGCGGCGAATCAGAAGATTCCGAGCCTCAGGTCTCCGACGCCGCAAGCACGTTGCGCGGGGTCGCTGAAGACGAGGTCGCGGAGGGGGCAATCCCGGGCGATGACGGAGAAATTTGACGCGGTGGGGTCGTCTCGCGATTAAGTCACGAGCGACTCTGCCTGGGGGTCTGCGCCGACGTCAAGCCAGTCGTCAGCGGGGCGCGAGGAAGCTGCGCCCCCTGCTGCGAGTGGCTGGAGCAGGACGACGACGCTCCTCTGGCCCAAGGCTTCCTCTCGCGGCGCTGAGCCCCAGGCGGGCCTCGCGGGCTTGGATAAGGGAGAGAATGTGGATAACGAGATGGAGGAGATGCCGACTGCGAAGGCCGAGGGCGCCGGGCAGGAGGCAGAGGGCACGGGCGCGGATGCGGCGAAGCAGGAGGGCGCGGCCGACGAGGCCGCGGTTGAGAAGGCCCACGATCTCGGCGATCCCTCGGCCAATGAGGACCACGGCGTGAAATGCGAGGGCCCTGATGAAGGGGCCTTCTACTTCCCCCCAGCCTTGGCCCAGCTCGAATTCATCCCGTGACTGATCCACTGCGACCGCCCCCCCGATGTGTTTCGAATTAGCGGTGGTTCCGCCTCCGCCCGCGGGGGCGCAGCTTCTGCTGGAGGTCGTTAAAGAGGGCGCGGAGGAACGGGGCGAGCCAGCGCGCAATGCTCTCGAGCATTCCGGGATACACGCGATCCGCAACCTGTCCTCGGACGACGAGGACTTGGGCGATTGCTCGCGCCGCGTGGGCACCGCGACGCCGCGCAGGGCGCGGGCCCCGTGGCGCATTCGTCCGGGTCGCTCTGCGGGCCAGCGGGGGCATGCCCCGCCATGGCGGAGAGACCGTGTGCGACGTCTCGTCGAGTTCCTTTCCCGCCGAACGATGGAGGAGCGCAGGGGGGCCGACCGTTGCCTCTTGGCGCGGCGCAACGCTGTCGAGCCGAAGGACCCCCCCAGGGGCGCGCCCCGCGCTGCCCCCATGTTCGCTGAGATGGAGCGTAACGCGCTGGCGCACTACAGCGGTGCGTCCGAGGAGGAGGCGGCCAGGTTGGCAAGCTGCATCGTGAACCAACTGAGGCGCGTTTTTTTTCCGCGTCGTCACCTCGGGGGGCTGGGTGGAGATCAAGATGCTGGCCAGTCGAATTCACCTTGCGGGATTTGACCGTGCCTGGGCCCGACTCGCGCATGCCGTAGCTACCTTGCCGAAGAGCGCGGTTCAGAGTCTGGGCGCGCCGCGCGCGGGCTATGAGGGCGGTCCCAGGTCTCGGCCATAATTTTGTGACGACGGCTTCAACCGCGGGCGATCGGGGGGCATGTCCGTTAACGGCGACGGAGGGGATGCGCCGCCAACAACGCGGCTGCCCCAGGCGCGGGCGGGCAAGGGGTGGCACTCCATTCGGGTGGTGCAGCCAGAGAGGCATCGCGCACGTTGTGAGCCCAGCTGCCGCAATAAGCACGCACATTTCATTGCGCCGCTCGACGACCCCGCCATGATCCAGTCCAGGGCGCGCTCGTCATTCGTAATCATGATCTTATAGGAGCAGCCCGGCACCGCTACTTCAACCTTTTGGCCGCGAGGCGCGCTGAATACTGAGCCTCCGACAACCTCATGCGGATGTGACTTCTCAGGTCGATCAGAGCGCCTTCGGCGGGGTCGGGCTGGCGCGCCGGAGCTTTTCCGGTCGCGACGTGGGGGGCCGCGGCGATTTGCTTCGGCGGTTGCGCCCGGACGGGTGGGCTTGGAAATTCGCTGGCGACGCCCTGGGCCCGAAGGTTTTTCTAACTTGAAAGACCCTGCGATGCTCGACGGACGGACGGCCGCAAAGCTTGCGGCTCGCATCTTCGAGGGGCCAGAGTTCTGGGTCACGCCCGAGGGGCATTGATCATTAGTTCCTGCTCCTTGTGGTCCGAGGCCCACCAGGCACTCGGGCTAATCGTTGGTCTGTCTGGGTATCGTGATACTGATGTATGATGGCAGGCTTCACGGGGTGGCTTTTACCCCCAAAGGCCGACTCAGCGCGCGCTGATTGGATCCAATCTGACGAGCAGCGGAGCGAGGGGGATGAAGGCGACTTACGCCCCGCCGCGGACTGCAAGAACAGGGATCTCTCCCGCGCCGTGGACCGACAACGGTTCTTCGGTTGACAGCGCTGGGAGTCGCAATGGGCTCGGCATTGTCCACCGCTTTCACTGCCGCCTCAAGGGCGCCTATGGTGCCGAGCCTGCCCCGCCGCGCGGTGCTCCGGCGCTTCGTGACTGGCGGGATCTTGGCCCGATTGAGATTCAGACGACCCTGGGGCCCGGCAAATGCGTTGCCGCCTCAGGGCGGAGGCCCCAAGGCAAAGCCAAGTAGGTCGGCGGGCCGACGCGAACGTCATCTAGGCAAGTCGCAGTTTGCAGCGGGACGACCGCGAAGGTGCCACCGTCAGGCGCTAGTTGGGATCAGCGGGCAAGTTTGCTTTTCAGACGGACGCCTTGGCTCACCTGGCCTGGCGCCCCAAGTCCGCCGATGATGCGCGCCCGCTGCAGCGCGACCCGACCATGCTCACTTTGGCGAAGAAGCTGGCGCGGCGGTGGCTCATGCGCCAGGCCCACCTGGGTGAGCGGGCCACCTGGCAGGGCCGCGCCGTGCCAGTGGAGGTATGGTAGCCCCACTTCAGTCGCAGGATCCAGATCGACGGCGACCAGTGCGACTATTCCGTCTTGAAGGTTTTCTCGTAGGACCTCGATCGAGCGCTATGCGGGCTTCGGGGAGGGCTCGCCTTCCACGAGATAGGAAGGGTGGGCCAAAAGCAGGGCGCGTCCGCCATTCTCCCACTAATCCACCTCAGTCGGACCATGCACGTCGAGATTGGCGAGGACTGGCGGACTGAGGTGAGGCCGCCTGTGGCGGGAGAAGCGAGCAGGCAGACGCGACTCCGACCAGCTGTCCACCGGGCGTCTGCCGACTGAATCAGCAGTGCCCGCGGTGCTCGGTACCGTTCACTTGGCCCAGGGTTCCGCCCCGTGGCCCGTGCTCAATCACGGCGCCCCGACCATGTCAATGCAGCCCTTGGAAAGGCAGAATGCCCCAGACAGCACAACGTCATGATCTAGGCTGCAGCAGAGTTCCTCCGTGCGAGCCATGAGCCAGATTTCGGTCCGACGCAGATTCAGCTGGGAGTGCTGAGCAAGGTCAACCAGCGTTGGGCGGCCCCGCCGCTCCCTGCGGCGAGCGGCCCGAGGGCTGCGCATGAGGGTTCGCGGTGGGCGATGCAGTCATGTCGTGTTGCGATTGACGTGGCCAAGGATTGTACGTGGCCAAGGTTCGAACGATTGCTTGGCGATCATCTTGTCTGGGTTAAATCCGCGGATGCCGTCTGGGAACAGCTGGAGATTGCACGGGCGCGCAAGGATACCGTCGTCATGTTCCAGGACCGTGTCGTAGACATGACAGACGATATCGGCGCTGACGAGCGTCCCGCAGGTGGGGGGCGGACGACGCAATCATCAGCAGCGGGAGGGGACTTTCGCGTGCTTTTTACAACGTTTTCTTCGCGCCGGACGACCCTGCTTTTCGACGGGTGGCGGCCCCGCATGTTCCAGACTTCATCGTGGGCGCTGCTTTGATCGCGCTCGACATCTCGTCCAAGTCGGACGCGCCCCAGCCAGACCCAAGAGGTCCAAGGGCTCACCTCGCGGGGGCCGCCAAGTCTCGGGATTGTATTCCGAGCGCTGGATCGGGGTCCGACTGGCAGCGCGGCCGCGCAGGCGGCGATTGCTTCAGGTCCAGTCAGCCCGCGGCTCGCCCACGCTCTGCGCGAATGACGTCGACATGGAAGGGCAGCTCTGTGGAGTCCGGGCGCGGGACACCCCCCGCCGCCGCTGGCTGGCTAGGGCGGGGGGGGGGAGGGCCGCGGCTGAAGGGGCGGAGTGGATTCCATCCCTGCCAGGGGCGCAGCAAAACGTTTTGGCGGTTGGCGCCGCGGGGGCCAATGCGCCTCGGAACGGAAAGAAGTCTCGCGCCCCCGAGGCGCGCCCCCTCGCGCAATGAGCCCTTTCGCCTTGGGCGGTCTGCCCAGGGCGCGGATCCGTCGGCGAACAGGAAAGCTGCGCGTCGGCGGCCGCGGGGGGAGCCATTCCCAACGATCCCCTCGCCAGATTTTGCTGCGCCGTCCATTTCTTTCATCGGTGGGTAGTCGGCGACCACTTTAGAATATTGATGAAATTGTGATATTTTGATACTTTGCAGCTGCTTCTGCAAACCATTAGAAAAGAATCGCGGGCTCTCGCTCTCTTCTTCAAGGTCGCGCGCACACGATCTCACGTACTACCTTGTATACTCGCTTGCCATACCTACCGATGTCATGGCAGCGAGGATGTCCATGTCCCCAGAGCTAGACCTGGACCATTGCAAGAATAACTACGTGAACCACAATACCATCTTAAACCCATGCCTGTCAAAACGAGCCTGTCTATGTTTGCTATTACTAGGCAAATTGCAGATCAGTTATGTTTCTGACGTTTTTGTTTGCTTGTCGAGCCTCTTTGACGACGGTTGGTCGTCGACGGGCGACGACGGCTTGTTGACGGTCGACAACGTTCGACGACGGTTCGAAATCCGCGCGGATCTCGGGCAGCGCATGCGGATGCAGTTTTTCTGGTTTTCTTCCAGCCAGGAATTTGAATTTGAGATGGAAGCTTTCGGGACTCTCTGAACATACTGTTACACCCGAGAGAACCCAATCAGTAAATGGTTTGAAATGGGATCGACAACGAGATCGATATGGAGATCGACTTGGAACCCGGGGGCCCGGAACCCACCGAAATCGGCTTGGAACCAATAGCCGAGAACCGGGGAGACCAACCGGCCACCAAAATCGGCGGGAAATGTTCGCCAAATCTTTCAATTGCCGGTAATGCCCCTGGAGTGCAAGCGTTGATTTTTGGGAGTTCGTATCGTCGGCGTCCCCAGTTGCGATTCCGACGCAGCGTTGCCTGGATTACGGGGGGACATGAAGAAACGAAGGGGGCCCAAACAACAATGGGCTTCAATGTCTAATTAATCGATGTTGCCAAATCGCTGACTTTACTTGTTTGTTGCGCGTTCCTTCTGTTCTCCGTCCCACATTCCTCTTCCCTCTTGCTCGTCCCTCTCTCCCGCAACTGAGCGCGCGCAGCTTGTATCTGCCAATGCGCCGCCTGAGCGCCAGGGTTGACTGCCTGACCGAACCAGGAAGGCGAGGACGACGCTTGATTAACCCATAACCTTTCGAGCCGAGGGCCCCCCCGACCCAGCCTCGGACTGCTCTGACGCCGTGCGGCATTGGGAGGGCGACGAGGACCGACGAGCAGGAAAAGCGGGAGTAACAGCAGGGGAGCAGACAGGAGCAGGAGGATAATGAACACGACGAGCACGAGGAAGAGCAGAAGTAGCAGGATGAACACGAGGAGGAACGCAGCACGAGGAGGAACGCGATGGCTTTGAAGAGCAGGGGGGGCACGAGGAGGAGCAGAAAACGCATGCTACCCGTCAAAACGCCACACACGCAGACCTTTTCGCGCCGTGAAGAGATGTCGGCGGACGGTTCCAGTTTCCTGTGGCCAGTTGCGGGGTGCGGGTCTGCACAGAAACGGTTCAGGATGATGGGCGGGCGTGGGGAGAGGGTGAGACTTCTGTGGATTGCAAAGCTCAGCGCGTCGCATGTCTCAACATGTGGGGTGAGGTGCGCAGTCCCCTCGTGATCCTCAGCCCTGCTCGCACCCAGGATGCTGCACAACAGTACCCTCGGCATCTGGCAGTGGATGTTCACTCTGCTACAGGCGCTGCCCAGAAGAAGAGGAGCCATCACAATCTCCCCCCTCTCTCTCTTTCTCTATTTCTCTCACTTTCTCTGTCCCTATGTCTTTCTCTCGCTTTCTCTTGCTATAACTCTTGTTGTCTCATCTTCCCCTTGCTTCTTTTCATTGCCGTCCTTTTTCATTAGTTCTGTCTTCCTTGTTGATCATGGCCCCTCTCTCTCCCTCCGTCTCTGTATCTGTCTCCTCTCGTTCTCTCTCCTTCTCTCTCTCTCTCTCGTTCTCTCTCTCACTCTCTCTCTCTCTCTCGTTTTTTTTTTGTTGTTTCTCTCTCTCTCTATTGCGAAGGCCTTACGGCCGGTGCCGCCGACCCTGTTCGCAATGCGCAGCAAGAGGCACGGGCTGTGGGATGGTTTTGGGGAACGGGGAGAAGGACGAGAAGGTGGGGGAGGGAGGTGTCGTATCTGACCCGGGACTTCCCCGGGACTCCCCTGGGACCCCCCCCGGGACCCCCCCTCCCCTTCCCGTCGGGGAAGGGAAAGGGAAGGGACTTCCCTTCGACTCAATTACGACGTTGCTCAAGGTCGGTACGGGGAGGGGGGCGTCGTATCTGACCCGGGGGGGGGGTCGCTACCCCCCCCCGCTACCCCCCCCCCCCCCCTCCCGGCGGGGGAGGGATCAAAGGGAAGGGCTTCCCTTCGACTGAATTACGACGTTGCTCAAGGTCGGTACGGGGGGGGGCGTCGTATCTGACCCGGGGGGGGGGTCGCTACCCCCCCCCCCCTCCCGGCGGGGGAGGGATCAAAGGGAAGGGGCTTCCCTTCGACTGAATTACGACGTTGCTCAAGGTCGGCTTGGCTCGAGCGGCTCGGGCGCGGCTCGGACGGCTGGGGCGCAGGACAGAGACGACGAGTACAAAGAATAACGGAGATGACGGCTCGAACGGAAAAGCCCCTCACACACGCCGACAGGGTCGGCGGATTTGTCTTTCTCTGCACCCCCCCCTCTTTCTCTCCCCTTTCCTTCCTCCCCTGTCAGCAAAGGGAGGAGGAGGAGGAACAGGAGGAGGAGAAGGAACAGGAGGAGAAGAAGAGCAAGTGATGGGAAGGGGCACGTCGCGAGCAGGTGCTCACCTTGGACTCGTGGATGTCCATCGCACGACCGATGCAGACGTACGTGCCGTGGTCCTGGGCCTTCTTCTACCTGTGCCCCCGCTCACCGTTCTCCTCTCCGCTCTTCCTCCTTCTCCCATTTCCCTTTCTTTCCTCCTCTTCCTCCTCCTCCTCCTTCTCTATCCCCTCACACTTATCATTGTTTTCCTCATTTTGCTTTTCCATCCCTCTTCCTCATGAATAACTGCCTCCACCTGCCGCGCCACAATGCGTGGCTGCAGTCCAGGACCGGGCATTTCGCTGGGGACACCGTTGCAACTTAGAGCGTGCTTCTTTATTGCTTGGGGCATGACGGGCGTCATGGTCTCCGCCCCCCCCCCTCCTATGACGTAACGCTCACCCCCGTCAGTGCGCTCCGGGCGCTGCCGCCGTGCGCATCGGGATCCGCATAGGTGTCCGCGTAGGAACTCGCATAGGAGTTTGGTCCGCAGTCGTCGTCGTCGTCGTCGTCGTCGTCGTCGTCGTCGTCGTCGCTCGTCGTCAAAGCTCGTCGCTCGTCGCTGGTCGCTCATCGTCGTCGTGCGCGCGGGCACGGCTGGAGCCTGTTTTTAAATTCCGGGCCGATGACGGCAATCATATGGGGGGGTGGAGGGGACTGATGACAACACGTTTCGCGCCAGCGGCGTTTGGGAATTCCTAGGAATGACCAAAGACGGGAAGCAGCAGCGTGTAGGTGGCGATCTGCGCCACAGCGCCAGTGTAGACCACACCGCCTATGTACACCGCAGCGTTTGTGTGCACCACACCGCCTTTGTACACCACAGCAGCCGAGTGCAACACAGCGCCAGTGTGTGCCACTGCCTGCGGGCACCACAGCGCTTGTGTACATCAAAGCGCCTGCGTACACCACGTCAGCAGTGTGCAACACAGCATCAGTGTACACTATAATGCCTTCGTGCAATACAGCGCCTGTGTCCACCTCGCGTATTTGCACCGTAGCAACCGTGTGCAACAGAGCACCACTGTTGCATATAGAATTTGAGAAGGAATCCGTATGACAGAAAGGAGCACCTGTGGATCCAAGAGAAAGCAACTGCGAAGGACGAAGGGGAGGGGAATGAGGATGAGGATGAGGATGAGGATGAGGATGAGGAGGATGAGGAGGAGGAGGAGGAGGAGGAGGAGGAGGGGGAGGAGGAGGAGGAGGAGGAGGAGGAAGAGGTGGAGGAGGAGGGATGATGGAAAACGCCGCATTTCATTATTCGCACTTGCCTGGCGTGGCGTTTAGCTGTCCGCAGCAGATCCGCACCGACATGCTCCCTTTACTTGTCCTGTGCACGCAAGCGCTGTGGTGTACAGTGGCGCTGCTGCGTTGCGCGTGGATGCTGTGGTGTAAACAGGCGCCGTGGTGTGCAGAGGCGTTGCATTGCACGCAAGCACTGTTGTTCACAGGCGCTGTGATCGCTGTACCCAGTCGCTGTGGTGTACACCTGCTCTGTGGTGCACGCAAGCACTGTGGTGTACGCAGGCGCTGCTGCGTTGCACGCGGCTGTTGCAGTGTGCGCAGACGCTGTGGTGTACACGCGCTTTGTGGTGCACGCGACCACTGGTGTACACAAGCGCTGTGGGGCAGATCGCCACCTAAATGCTGCTCGCGTTGTCGTCGTCGTCGTCAACCCTCGTCGCTCGTCGTTCATCGTCGCTCTGCGCGCGGGCGTGGCTGTGGTTTCGGAGCCGCACGGCGGAGGTGGGGCGTTATGTCACACCCCCCTGCCCCCCCCATGACGCCCGCCATCGCCGAAAATAACGAAACGCGCTCTGACTATCGCGAAGTTAGGAATACTTCCAACATTTATTTCAAAATCAAAGAGTGGCGTCGTGGTGGGGCGGTCGTTCTGCTTCAAAACAATAATTCCACAGTTCCATCATGGAGGGGCGCTCGCTTCCAAAATGCGGCTCTCACCTTCTCGCCGCCCTTTTTCGTTTCAACTGGTTCCAGCAGTTGCAAGGATGAAGGGCTGGTGGTTGTCAAAATGTCGCTCCCCACAAATCCAGAAGGGCAAGGATGGAGGCCGCGTCGTTTTCAAAATGCGCCTGTCTCTTGAGACGTCCTCAGAGTCTACGACCGATAGTTCCAGCTGGCGCAACGCCTCTTGCCGGGCTGCAAGCGAACGGTCGACTGACAAAGGGCCGCTTGCATTCCAGCGCGCAGTGGCTTTCACAAAACAACAGCGTTAATACACACCGTTAAAACACAACGTGAGTATACGTAATACACAGCGTTAACACACCGTAAATACACAATGTGAGTATACGTAATTCACAGCGTTAATACACACCGTAAATACACAACACCACGCATATACGCAACGCAAATCCACGACACCACGCATTTACGCAGCGCAAATACACGGCAGCACGCATATACGCAACGCACATACACGACACTACGCATTTACGCAACGCATATACGCAACGCAAATACACGACACCACGCATATACGCAACGCAAAGATACGACACCACGCATATACGCAACGTACACGCAACGCAAATACACCACACCACGCGTATACGCAATATACACGCAACGTAAATACACCACACCACGCATATACGCAACATACACGTAATGTGACATACACGCAATGCAAATACACGACAGCACGTACATGCGCAACATACACGCAACACAACTACACGCAATGCAAATACACAACACCACGTACATACGCAACGCAAATCCACAACACCGCGCATACACGCAACGCGAATACTCAGCACCACGCGTATACACAGTGAAGATACACAGCACCACGCATTTACACAACGTAAACACATAACACCACGCATATACACGACGTAAATATGCATCGCCACGCATACACGCAACGTAGATAAACAATACCACGCATATACGCAACGTAATTTAAAGGCTGCCGCCTCTGCCGCCGACCCCAAAGGTTGCTTAGTGTTCGTTTTGTCGTGTTCTTCGGTTTATTGGAGCCCTCTTGGGGCTCTTCGGGGGGGGGGGTTCTGGGAGGCCTCTCGGGGCCGTGTTGGTCCTTATGGCTACAGAAGGGGGCCCCCTCGGAAGCTCAAACATGTCGTCTTGGGACCCTCTTGGCCCGCTCTTGGGCGCTCTTGTGGCCGCCTTGGGGCTCTCTTGGGCCCCTCTCGGGGCTGTCTTGGGCCATCTTGGGGCCTACTCATAGGTAGGGTCGCTTTGGGATAAGTTGTATCTTAAACTCGCGTGCGTTCCGAAACTTGGAGGCATCTTGGGGCCCGCTTGAGATTCTTTTGGGCTTCATACGGTGGGGCTGTGTGTCGCCCATCCTCTTGTCGGCCTCGTTTGGAGCGCCACTTTCATAATTCAGTCAAGCCTTGGTGCTCGGTTTCGACATGCCTAAGCCACACTGGCCCGGCACGTGCCATTCCAAGTGCCTCAACCACCCTGGCTCGGCAATTTCATCGCACTGTATTCCGTTTCTGATCTGGTATTGCGGGGCTGAGTGTCGCCCATTCTTCTTTTCGGCCTCGTTTGGAGTGCCAAGTACTGATGTCGTTCACGGACTTGTGTTGATTCGGCATGCCTACGCCATCCTGGTTCGGCATTTCTCCTCACAGATGCCTCGGGTGCGCTAGGCTGTGCTGTGCTGTGCTGCGCTATGCTATGATATGCTGTGCTATGCCGTGCTATGCTGTGCTATGCTATGCAGTGCTGCGCTATATGCTATGATATGCTGTGCGATCCTGTGCTATGTTATGCTGTGCTGTGCAATTCTGCGCTCTGCATTGCTATGCTGAGCTGTGATATGCTACTAATACGACAACTACTGCTACTGCTACTGCTGCTGCTACTACTACTACTACCACTACTACTACTACTGCTACTACTACTACTACTACTACTACTACTACTACTACTACTACTACTACTACTACTACGACTACGACTACGACTACGACTACGACTACGACTACGACTACTACTACTACTACTACTACTACTACTAGCACAACTACAACTACAACTACTACTACTACTACTACTACTACTACTACTACTACTAGTACTACTATTACTATTCATACTGCTACTACTAGTAGTAGTACTACTACTATTACTACCACTACTACTACTACTACTACTACCACCACTACTACTACTACTACTACTACTACTACTACTATTACTACTACTACTACTACTGCTACTACTACTACAGCAACTACAGCTACTATTATTTATCCTACGACCTACTACTACTACTACTACTGCTACTACTACGACTACTACGACTACTACTACTACTACTACTACTACTACTACTACCACTACTACCCCGCTCTTGGGCGCTGTTGGGGGCCGTCTTGGGGCTCTCTGTGGCCCTTCTCGCGGCTGTCTTTGGCCATCTTGGGGCCTACTACTACTACTACCACTACAGCAACTGCAACTCCTACTACGACGACGACTACTACTACTACTACTACTACTACTACTACTAGTACTAGTACTAGTACTAGTACTACTACTACTACTACTACTACTACTACTACTACTACTACTGCTACTACTACCACTACTACCGCTACTACCGCTACTGCTATAACTGCGAAGATGAGGAGAAGGAGGAGGATGGCGTTTACCGTTGCTATCAATATTGCTCTCCTCGGGGCTCCAACTCCTAGGTAGGGTCGCTCTGGGATAAGTTGTATCGTAAACACGCGTGCGTTCCGAAACTTGGAGGCATCTTGGGGCCCCCTTGAGATTCTCTTGGGCTTCATACGGTGGGGCTGTGTGTCGCCCATTCTCTTTTCGGCCTCGTTTGGAGCGCCACTTTCATACTTCAGTCGCGCCTTGGTGCTCGGTTTCGACATGCCTAAGCCACACTGGCCCGGCACGTGCCATTTCAAATGCCTCAACCACCCTGGCTCGGCAATCTCATCGCATTGCATTCCGTTTCTGACTTGGTATTGCGGGGCTGAGTGTCGCCCATTCTTCTTTTCGGCCTCGTCTGGAGTGCCAAGTACTGATGTCGTCCACGGACTTGTGTTGATTCGGCATGCCTACGCCATCCTGGCTCGGCATT